AACAGCAGCAGCACCACGATCGAACAGCTGCAGCAGCAGCTGCAACGAGAACAACAGCAGCAAGCGCCGGGCATGCCTCCTGCTGAATGGAGTCCCGAGCAACAGAGTTTTGCCGATCCCTCCCAACAATATCCCGGTCAAGCACCGAACAACTGCATGGGTTACAACCCCTATGAGGCGCCCCAGGGAGGGTTCCAAGGACAAGACCCCGGCTATGCCAATCCTTACGGAGCGCCTCCGTACGATCCGAATGCTTTCGACCCGAACGTCCCGAGGTGAGGCCATGGAGGAGGGCGACCATCGGGCTTCCAGCTCATTATGATTCATTGGGTCCCAGAGCTGGAAAAGACTGAAGGCTCCCTGACTCGCAACCAACAACTTCTCCAGATCTCCAGGACTCAGACCGCTCATATTGAAGCCTCGATTTGCGATCTGGTTTTCCAGTGCCTCCACAGCTCTGGCGTTGACTCCAGTTAATTCCGGAGGCGTCTCCCGCCGACGTCCTAAAGAAGTTCTCATGTCCCTCGCATACAGAGCGAGGAGTTTCCCCACCGGAGTCTGAATAGCAACCTATCACCAGGGTCGACCAACGATCAACCATATCTTCAGTCTCGCAAGAGACACAAAGGCAGTGTCCTCTTTGTTCGCTCGTGGTTACTGATCATAGATGACTCAAGACTCGAGTGATGAGCCTGGCTTGAGACTGACTACTGAATAACTTCGTTCATTCCTCGCGTACACCGTCAAGAGCCGCCGACTCACAGCGGGATTCCAACTCACCCCTCCGGAAGAGTTGTCCCTCCTGGGACTGAAGATGTAATCTCTTTTCAATGGACAAGCCCTCTGAACCGCTCGATCGTACACCTAAGTGTAACAGCTAGTTGGATTTCGGAGGAGAGCCAGCTGGAATGGGTTCTCCGGAGATGCATGTCGGTAGCGGCGATGCCGGCGGATAGACACGGGGAAGGGAAGTGGGGTTGAGAGAGAGAGCCGTCAGTAGCTAGAAGTGACAGCCGGCAGATAGAGAGACCGTAGCTGACGACTGATAACTGAGGAGCCGGTCGAGGATCGGAAGTGAGGAAATAAAGTGAGAAGTCGAACGGTGATTATCAGTGCGTTGTCCCTCCCCTCTGAGTGGATCCAGGTATAGGTCCCTATCGGACTGTTACATAAGATATCCTCTTCGGAACTCCATTTAAGAATTGGATGTCCGCAATGACTTAGGGGCCGGAGAACTTTTCCGTATCACCCACTTCCGTGAGGACTTATTAGTCTGCCGCTGCATAATCCGGTATATTCTGGGAATGCCTCTTATTGAAGATCTTTTCTGGGGTTTCCTCGCCGCGTATACTCCTTCGGTAGATTCTCTCCGTTCCGTCAAACGTAACCGATTCCGGATACCTAATATTTCATCAGCCGGGAGATATGTTACTTCAGCCGTCAAGGCAAAACTCGGCGAGCATCCTGTCGTGTTACAATGAGACCGATTATGATGTCTCGCGGTCCCTGGCGGCCGCCCAATCCTCGACTCTCTTGCTTCCGAGGACTCCCGCTCAATCCGATGCAACTCGGGTCTTCTCGAATGCTTCCTGTTTCAACAAACTGGTCACCGACTGCGCGATTTCTCGGCCAGAACGAGCAATGGCAAACCTCGAGTTCCGATCGACGGCGAACGAGGAAGCACGATTCTTGGTCCCCGTACAGCTCTTTTCCGACTCTTCCGGGAGGTCCAAATGCACCGTGTGCATTGGAGGATCATCATTTGGTCTGAGACATTTGGTGTCAACTTTCGGTGAGAATTTTGCCTTAATTTTCTGGCAGACCACGCAAGACTTGACGTAATTTTTCACGTCCTCTCTGACTCGGCAATGAGGAACCTCTCGAAATCCTCAGATGAGTACGTAACGTGCCGTCATGACTCCCGAATCAGGACTGTCATGATCCACATTGTCAGACTCCTCCTGAGAACTTCCCCTTTCATTCCTCGACGGTATGACTCGTAGGTGGGGTAGAGTTCCATCGGAGTAAGAGCTTGCGAGGCTGGAATTGCTTTGTAGAGTTCTTCGCAAGTGGATATCAACGTGGCTCCAGCTCTTCCGATGCGATGGAAGCGTCGTCGTTCGGACCGATCCCGCTGTTTGATCCATCGTTCACGATACTCTATGAGTTCAAAATATTTCTCAAGTTTCACAAGCGGCTATGATAAATAATTATTAATTATATTATACAAGCGTTCTGAGCCACTGTGAAGACTGAGAGAGGAAATCCCGAGGGGGGAAGGATACCTAATGGGGAGGAAGGTACTGAAAAATGTATCCTTCGCTGCGTCTTTCCTCCGGTTCCGACGGTTTCATTCTCGTTCGGGTTCATTCTGTGAACGTGAACTGCACCGATTGGCTCACGAATCACAACCGCGGCATGATCGGGGAGCGATTGCGAGGGGAGGTCAGGGTCGTTCAATATCTGTAGAGCGGTGAGGTTTTCGTAAGTTTCTTCCCAAACAAACGAAACAATTTTCGTTAACCGAACGAATTTCGAGTTCCCTGTTGGGACATGCTTCTCTCAGGGGAGCATCATCATGCACTCGTAATTTGACGAGAGAGCCTCGTAGAAGCCGAAACGTTGTTCGAACCGGGACGTTGTGGAGCCATCCATCTCTGGGCTTCATTGACCTTTGTGGTCTTCGAATGAATTTCCCACGACCTCTGACTTGGCTCATTGCCGAACCGGAATCAAACTTTCGTCACCGTAATGAGTATTCATTTCGATCGCGGAGCGGCCGGCGTCTCACTGTCCTGCGCGTCGAATTCGTCCCAGCTCTGTCTCATCTGATGCCAAATCCTCCTCTTTCTCGAACTTAGTCCACATAGAAGCTAACCGGGTTCGCCAATCCGTTCGAAGACAAAAAGGAATCAGGAAAAATCAAAGCTCTTCCTTGGTCGAGCCAGGTGTCTTGTCCCTCCTCCGACTCCCGTCTGAGTTCTGCAATCGCATTGATACATTCAGATGGAAATATTCTTGAGATTATTGTACATGATTTGGGACATCTACGTCCCTGGTAATTGGAGCTTGTCAATTCGCCGAATGTAGTGCCTCAAGAACGAAATGACAAGTCGCGGCCTCAATCCCTCCTTTAACGGACATTTTCATCCTTGCAGCGACGAATCGAACACTTAGAAGAAACGAATAAGACGCTGCTCAACTTAGTGGTCCAGCTGCAACGACAGCTGCATGAACAGCAGCAGCACCAGATCGAACAGCTGCAGCAGCAGCTGCAACGAGAACAACAGCAGCAAGCGCCGGGCATGCCTCCTGCTGAATGGAGTCCCGAGCAACAGAGTTTTGCCGATCCCTCCCAACAATATCCCGGTCAAGCACCGAACAACTGCATGGGTTACAACCCCTATGAGGCGCCCCAGGGAGGGTTCCAAGGACAAGACCCCGGCTATGCCAATCCTTACGGAGCGCCTCCGTACGATCCGAATGCTTTCGACCCGAACGTCCCGAGGTGAGGCCATGGAGGAGGGCGACCATCGGGCTTCCAGCTCATTATGATTCATTGGGTCCCAGAGCTGGAAAAGACTGAAGGCTCCCTGACTCGCAACCAACAACTTCTCCAGATCTCCAGGACTCAGACCGCTCATATT